GTTTGTAGTATTTTGTAACAATCTGTTGTATTTCGGTGGGGTCTGTTGTTATTTCACCTCTTTCATTTCTGATTTTGTTTATTTGGGTCCTCTCTCTTTGTTTCTTGGTTAGCATGTCTAGAGGTCCATCTATCTTGTTTATCCTTTCAAAGAACCAGCTCTTGGTTTTGTTGATCTTATGTATTGTTTTTTTGGTCTCTATGTCGTTTATCTGTGCTCTGATTTTTGTTATTTCCTTCCTTCTGCTTACACTGGGCTTTTCTTGTTGCTCCTTTTCTAACTCTTTGAGTTGTAGAGTTAGATCATCTGTTACCCTTTTTTCTAGTTTTTTGCAATAGGCTTGTAAGGATATAAACTTCCCTCTCAAAACTGCTTTTGCAGTGTTCCATAGATTTTGGATTGTTGTGTTTTCATTGTCATTTGTTTCCAGAATGTTTTTAATTTCTTCCTTGATTTCTCTGGTAACCCAGTCCTTGTTTAATAGCATGCTGTTTAGTCTCCATGTGTTTGATTTCTTTGGATTATTTTTATTTTAGTTAATTTCCAGTTTTATGCCATTATGGTCTGAGAAAATACTTGATATGATTTCTATCTTTTTGAATTTGAAGAGACTTTGCCTTTGTCCCAAAATGTGGTCTATCTTTGAGAATGTCCCATGTGCACTTGAGAAGAATGTATATTCTGTGGCTTTGGGGTGCAGTGTTCTGAAGATGTCAATTCCATCTGGTCTAGTGAGTCATTTAGGATTGATATTTCTTTGCTGATTTTTTGTTTAGATGATTTGTCGAAGGGTGACAGTGGGGTATTAAAATCTCCTATTATGATTGTATTGCTATTAATCTCTCTCTTAATGTCCTCCAGCAGTTTTTTAATGTATTTGGTTGCTCCTGTAGTGGGTGCATATATATTTACCAGGGTTATTTCTTCTTGTTGGATTGTTCCCTTTAGTATTATGAAGTGGCCTTCATTATCTCTTATTATGTCCTTCACTCTGAGATCTAATTTGTCAGATATAAGTATTGCTACCCCAGCTTTTTTTTCATTTCCATTTGCCTGGAAAACTTTTTTCCATCCCTTCACCCTCAGTCTGTGTGCATCTCTTTTTCTGAGGTGGGCTTCTTGTAGACAACAGATGTATGGGTCTTGTTTTCTTATCCAATCTGTTACCCTATGTCTTTTGATTGGAGCATTTAATCCATTTACATTTAAGGTTATTATTGATAGGTACTCATTTGATGCCATTTTTATTCTATACCCGTGTTCCTTCTTCACTTCTTATTTCTTTATTTTTACAGCAGACCCTTTAGCATTTCTTGCATTGCTGGTTTGGTGGAGATAAATTCCTTCAGTCTTTTTTTGTCTGTGAAGCTCCTGATTTCCCCTTTAGTTTTGATTGATAGCCTTGCTGGGTACAGTATTCTTGGATTCAGACCCTTCCTTTGCATGACTTTGTATATTTCATCTCATTCCCTTCTGGCTTGATAAGTTTCTGTTGAGAAATCAGTTGCTAGTCTGATGGGGATTCCTTTGTATGTAACTTTCTGTCTCTCTCTGGCTGCTTTTAAGATTCTTACTTTGTCGATGTTGTTTGCCAATTTAATTATAATGTGCCTTGGAGTCTGTCTTCTGGGATTCATTTTGTTTGGGACTCTGCGAGCAGCTTGGATTTGTGTGGTTTTTTTCTTCTCTATTTCAGGAAAGTTTTCTGTCATTATTTCTTGAAATACTTTTTCCATGTCTACCTCAGTTTCCTTTCCTTCTGGAACCCCTATTATTCGAATATTATTTTGTTTTGTATTGTCCCAAAGCTCCCGTAGGCTCTCCTCCTGCTTTTTAATCTTTTTTTCTAGAAGTTGCTCTACTTGGGTATTTTTTTCATCTTATCTTCTAGCTCACTGATGCGGTCCTCTGTTTCATCTAGTCTACTCTTGATGCTTTCTATTGAGTTCTTCATGGTAGCGATGTCATTTTTCATTTCTTCTTGGTTCTTCTTCAGTTCCTCATGGCTTTTTTTCAGTTCCTCATGGTTCTTCCTCATTTCTTCTTGGCTATTGTCAAATTTTTCTTCCATTCTTTTTAGCCATCCTATGATCATTACTCTGAATTCTTGCTCTGGTAGGCTGCTTGCCTCTGACTCATTTACTTCCTTTTCTGGTGATGCCTGCTTTTCTTTCACGTGCAGACCATGTTTTTGTCTCCCCATGGCCTCTCTTTTCAGGATGTCTGATTATGTGGTGTTCCTTCTCCTGCGTTGATTTAAAGGTACAAAATACAACACTACCAGGTACAACACAAGAGGCACTTAACAGGAATGTATTTACAATATTAATAACCTCTAATAAAGGTGACCACTAGAGAAAGGCAACTTAGGGGATAGGAGAGAAGGAAGAAAGGTAAAAATAAAATAAAGAGAAATTTAAAAAAATTTAAAAAAAATTTAAAATTAAAATTAAAATTAAAAAATTAAGTAAATAATAAATAATTAAAAAAGAGGGATAAAGAGATAGAAAAAGAAGAAAAAAATAATGACAAAATGAAGTTGGAAAACAGGGAAAAAAGAAAGAGAGAGAGAGAGAGAGAGAGAGAGAGAGAGAAAGAAAGAGAGAGAAGAAGCAAACTAAAAGAGAAATGGGAAACAGACTATATATGTGTGGAGAAAATTGCCATAGAACAACCTCTGAGCCCAGCCAATGCCAGTAACAATACTTGGAGATTAATACAAACTATAATATCCACTATTATTAAGTAAGGCTATGATATACAGAAGTAAAAGAAACAAACCATAACAGAGGATTTTTTAAAAAAAAACAATAACAATACAGGAATAAGCATAACAATTTCACTAAAAGCATAAAAATTCACAATAATCAACCTTCACAGAAACAATGCAAAAACGATAGAGAGGAGAACAGTTTTTTTTTTTTTTTTAACTAGTTAATATAGTGCAGAGATTGGTATTTATACACTTGAATCAGAAGTTGGAACTTAGGTCGATAAGTATAGTGAGAGCTTTAGCAGGGGATATACAGAAAGAATATAGGAAAAACTAAAGCTGGAAAGGGATAGGATAAACTATAGACTAAAGGGTGAAGTTTAGTAAGAGAGTGATGGTGTAAAGGTTGAGTTGAGATAGGGTTGAATGATGCTCTAGTAGAGATTAAAATAGAATGAAGGTTACTCCCAATGTAAAATAAAGAAAAAATAAAATGGTACTGGAGAGGAAAAAAAAGAAAAAGAAAAAAAAAAGAAACAAAAATTGCAAAATAGCAGTAGTAATAGTGATGATAGAGATTGAAAAATGTAATAATTGAAAAGGTAAAATCAAGTAAGGAAAAAATAAAAAAAATTGTTTCTTAAGTAAAAGATATGAAAAATGAAAATTAAATAAAAGATGTAAAAAATGAAAATAAAATAAAGAATAGTAAAATTAGCATACAAATGTCCAGTAGTTAGTGGTCATTCACTTCCTCAGTTAATGTATTTGGCACTCCTGATTCTCGGACCAGACAGTCTTGCAGTTCCCAGCATTCCACTGCACCTCAGTTTTGTAAGGTAATCCTTAATTTTAAGTAGGCTATATCTTAGTTATTTGTGTCCATTTATTTTTGATTAATTAAAAGAAAAAAGAAAAGAAAGAAAAAAAAAAAGGCAGTTTGTAATTCAGCTCTTAGGTGTCAGTGTTTCCGGTTTGACCTCCCAGTCTTTTTGGTTGCTCTGGCTTTCTTTCTCTATGGCTCTAGCTGGCAGGGTGCCAGCTGGCTCCCAGACTATCTCTTCTGGCTCCAATTCCTTGTTTCCAGGAAGGCAATTTCCCCCTGCAATTTCCCTGGATATGCCCAACTGGGCAGTCCTTCCCTAGTATTCCGAAGCTAGGGGGTGAAGGGGATCAGGTGCCAAGGTGTCCAGATGTTCCGCCCTTGGCAGGACAGCCACGATTCTTAACACTCTGTCCCGTGTCCCCTGGCGTTTTTTTTAAAAAGAATTCCCGCTTCTGGGGAAGCTTATGTCAAACCCAGCACTAGGTGTTGCTGCAGCCTTCTTTGGGCTCAGCTCAGCGGGCACTCCCCCCTACAGTGGAGGCGGGGCCTCGCCAGAGCTCTGGCTATGGCTGCCTGCACCACGGGACCAGGAACCCTCAGGCTATCCCTGCAAACTCTGACCTTTCAGTGGGTGACTGAAGAGCTCCCTTGAATCCACGTGTTTGCGCCGATTTGGGCTTCTCAGCTGCTCGATGGACCTCTCCACTGGGGTTTTCCAGGCCTCAGAGAAGCTACTCCTTTCCTGGTAAGGTGGCACAGCCTTCTCTCCGAGCCGCAGCCCGCAGCTCGCCACCGCAGCCACGGCAGTGCTGGCCACCCGGCCAGGAAATCCTGTCCAGCGGACAGCTCCCTACCTTCCTTGAGAACTCCGCTGCCCCTCAGCTGACAATCAACATTCCCTGAGCGACTCAGACGCTACTTTTATCTGTTCTGGGACCAGAGTCAGAACAAGTCCGACTGTTCGGTCGCCATCTTCAAGCTCTGCCTCAAAATTACATTTTTTAATTAAGTTAGGTTGTGTTGGACTGGACTAGAGTGATAAGCATTTTTGTTTGATGGAATTGTATGCATTGCAATGTCAATGTTAAATGTATTAATATTTTGAGTTAATGGACGCTCTCCCAAGTGTTAGTCAACTATTAGTAAAGGCATGTTTTTATTTTCAAATCAATCATGGATTCAATCCAGAAATTAAATCATGTAAACATACCATGCTGTGATTTCAGATGGTATCCTATATAATAAAAGTGTAGCATGGAAAATGTCCCCTCTACTGGAATTCTTCCAGGAGTTTTACCAGGGGGTGGGCCAGCCGGGGGAAGGGAGGGAGGCCCCAGCTGGCAGCCAACAGCTGCTAGAGAACCTACCAGTGCATGAATTTCGTGCACTGGGCCTCTAATGAAAATATAATTGTTTGATCAGTATTAAATGCTATATGTTAATTTTTCTCTAAACTTTCAGGGTATTGAAAGAGAATTGAAAAAAATTCAGAACATAAAGGAAAGTAAAATTCCAGAACAAAAATATAAAGCTAAGGTAATAAACATTTTGTCTTTGGTTCCATATTAAGAAGCTAGCTAGGGACACAATCTGGGTTGCCTTCAGGGTTTCCCTCCTACTAGTTTATAGAATTGCTTTGTTTTGTAATGTTAGACTATTGGTTTTAAGTAACAATAATGTCTAATAGTTATAATTTGAAGGTTTTTATTGGATTACTAAACTAAGATTTTTTTCTTATTTTCTTCTAGAGAGGAGTAAAGTTTGAAATTAATTTAGACAAATGTATTTCTGAGGAAAATATTCTTGAAGAGGAAGAGGTATGTCATTAAGCATATATTTCCATTAGTAGGCATGAGAAAATGAGTATCTTAGTAGCATGTTTAATGACATTTTTTCATAGGGAGAAGGAGAATTTTCTTAAATCTTCCTAGAAGGATCTCTGGTGTTCAAATAAGTGTTTCAAAATACTTCATCTTCTCATTCTGTTTGTACTTGAGGTTATTCCCTTAAATGAACCATTTCAACTTAATATATTTTTCTTTTATAAAGTATTTATTTTCCTATAATATTAACTTTTGATAGCATAATTAAAGTAGAAGACATAATACATAGTCAAGAACTAATATAATTGCCTAAAAAATTGAGCAGGTACTCTGAAACCTTACACATTTATTTCAGGTCTTTATACTGGTCTTTGGGTAAAGCTTAGTTATGCATTTGGGCTCTCACTGTAACATTTTTAATGTTATAATTTCTTTCTGGTGTGTGTGTGTGTGTGTGTGTGTGTGTGTGTGTGTGGTGAAGGACCAGTATTTTTTTAATAGACTTCCGTGTTGTAGAGCAGTCATGGCAAAGATGAATAGAAGATACAGACAGAGATTCCCCACATATCGCTGCCCCACAAATGCACAGCCTCCCCTATCATCAACACCCCCCACAGGAGTGGAAGATGTGTTACAACTGATTAATCGATAGTGACATGGGGTTCACTCTTGGGATTCTATATGTTATGTGTTTGGACAAACAGGTAATTACATGTACCCGCCATTGTAATATCATGCCAAGTATTTTCACTGCCCTAAAAACCCTCTGGGCTCCACCTGTCTTTCAGATTTATACTAGCATTTTGCTACATAAGACTGCATTAGAGTGGCAATAATTAGCACTCACCACCATTTAACCATTAAGTCTCTAAATGTCCCAGAGCTGTGAGTATCAGAGGGGAGTGGATATGGGACTGTTTCTGGGTTGGAACCTGAGGAGTGATACACCCACAATGCTTCTGTGAAGTGAGGCACTGATGCTGACCTGCTAGAATAAAAAATAGAAAAAAAAAAGTCTTACCTACCAGAGTGCTCATCCTTTATTATTCTATGTTTTGATATGCTTGAAACACAGTGATCACCTTAACTGATTTGGCTAGGTGGCTAGAGTGTCGGCCTGCAGACTCAAGGGTTCCAGGTTCGATACCGGTCAAGGGCATATACCTTGGTTGTGGGCATATTGGAGAGAGTAGAGATTAAAGTCAGGAAGTAGGGAGTGTGCAGGAGGCAACTGATGGATGTTTCTCATAAATGCTTCTAACTCTCTATCCCTCTCCCTTTCTCTCTGTAGAAATTCAATAAAATATATTTAAAAAAAAAAGAAAGGAACACAGTGATCATTTTTGTTTTGATTATGGAGTATGTATTAGGAGCAGTTTTGGGGACCCAATTAGGAATGTTGTATACTTAAAATAGGGCGTGGAGCAGATAACCTTGAGAATGCTATAAAATGAAGTATAATAGAATATTATAGAAGACAGGAAGTCTGGATAAAAGTAAGTTGCCATATGATCAGTGCTTGTCAATATTGACAAAGAAAATAAATTAAAACACTCTTGTTTCTGTCTTGTTCCAACATAGTTCCACTTTTAAAACTTTACTGACTTATTTGTTCAATATAGATATATTAAATATAAAAGTTATTGCTGGAACACAAGCATTTTTTTTTCTAATTATGGCTTATTTCTCTTGAAACACTATGAAATTGCTTTAGGCCATAGACATACTAAATGAAACTTTGACCTTTGAGGATGGCATGAAGCTTAAGGAAAATAAATGTATTAAGGACCATGAGGATTATACAGATGAAGCATTTGAAAAACTCTGCTCAGAAGCAGGTACGTGTATTAAAAGTGGTAGATGAGAAGGAACTGTTTTGTTATCAATCCATCGCAAACTCTCCCCTGCACTGTCACCTGTCCCCTTGCTCTCCCTGAGCTGGGCAGAGACCTGCTCCGCTGCCTCTACCTACCCCTCGGGGTCCAAGCTCCCTGAAACTTAGCCCTCCTCTCTTGCTCCATCCATACTGTCTCCTTGGGCAGTTTCACCCACTTCTTCAGCTTCAGGTCTCCCAGCCAGCAGCTCCACGTGCACCCATTGTTTGCATCATCTGCTGGAAAGCTCCCTGGACAAGTCCCACTAGCGTCTCAAACTCAGCGTGTGTGCAGCCAAACGTGTGCACATTTCCTTCTCATGATCCTTTACTTCGGGTAACGCTATGCCAGGCTGACAGTTCCTGCGGTTCCGGGTGGTTTCTACTCTGAAATGTCTGTGGTGAGTTCCTTCTCTTCCATCCACTCTGAGCAGTATGAGTGATAGAACATGCGTGGGTTTTGGAGACAAGTGGGAGTTGGGATCCCAGCTGGCACTGCCACTTTCTGATGATGTTCCTTAGACCCTCTGCATTTCGGTCTCCTCCTAGGACCAGGGGTGAGAGTACCTGCCATACGTGGCTTATGGTGAGAAATTTGGTATGTAAAGCACCTGGCACATGCTAGGTGCTCAGTACATGCTATTCTAGTTTCCCTTTCTCTTCCCCTTGCTGAATTGGCTATGTGTCTCCTTTTCTCCAGTATTCCCCTCCTGTTCTCCAAGTGATTGCTAGTTATCTGATCATATTATTACCCTACTCAAGTGTTTTTTTTTTCTTTTTGGTAATACTTACAGGTTACAGTCCATCCACATAGTATCATTTGACACTGAGTGGCCTGACCCTTTGGTGACCCTCCTTTCCTACCCCAGCACCCCCTTTCCTTCCACTATGATGGGATCCATACATGACGGTGTGAGCTCAACTTCCACTTCCTAGAGTAACACAGTTTTCCCTATATCCATCTGGAAAACTCTTTATTCAGTTCAGCAGGCTTCTTCTTGGTAATCTCCCTTGTGCCGGGTGGTAGGGAATCTCAAAGATGAAGGAGACCTCTTTGTCATGAGCCAAAGAAAAGAGGCACAAACATGGGTTTTGAGTCCAAAATGCTTTTTAAAGGGATTACCTCAGTTTGGAAAGAGCTGTGGTTGGTGCTTGCAAGCAGGCTTAGACTATGCCATACATGATCAATTGCTTATGCCTATTGCTAGGTAAAAAGTTTACTTTTTAACAGAGTGTTTGGTGCTGCACAGCCAGTTTCAGGAACTGCATCAGGTTCAAAAGTTCAGTTTCACATGCTGTTTTGTTCTTGTTGTTTTCAGTCTACATTGATAATCTTTTGTTTAAAGTAGCCATCTTCATTAATTAACTTGACTAGAACTTCTGGATAACTTGCTGTAGCCTCTATATCAGCATTTGATTCACTTTGCACTCTGATGTTATGGAGATGGTCTCTTTCCTTAAACCTGATTAACCAACTGCTAATTTCAGACTCTTCTCCTGCAGCTTCCTCACCTCTCTCGGCCTGCATGGAACTGAAGAGCATTAGGGCCTTGCTCTGGATTAGGCAAGGGAATGCTGTGGCTAGTGTGATCTCAGTTCAGACCACAACTTTCTCCAGATCAGGCACAGGCTGTTTCCTATCATTTCTATTGATAGTTCTGAGTAAAACTTTTAATTTCCTTCAAAAACTTAACTTTTGCATTCATAACTTGGCTAGTTGTTTGGTATAAGAGGCCTGCTTTTTTACCTATCTTGGCTTTTGACATGTCTTCCTCACTAAGCTTAATAATTTCTAGTGTTCATTTAAAGTCAGACACGTGCAATTCACTCTTTTACCTTAACACTTGAAGATTATTTTAGGGTTATTAATTGGCCTAATTTCAATATTGTTGTTTCTCAGAGAATAGGGAGATCCGAGGAGAAGAAGAGAGATGGGGAATGGCCAGTCAGGTGGAGTAGTCAGAACACATACTACATTAGTTAATTAAATTCACTTCTTTATCTGGGTGCATTTTGGGGCACTCCAATGTAACATCAAATGTCACTGAATACAAGTCAATAATATTGTTTTACGTTTACACAATGTTGGATGATTACTAGATTTAGTGTGGTAGCCACATTTTAAGGTATATTAATGTCAAATTACTATATTGTACACATAAAACTAATATAGTATTGTATGCCAACTATACTTACATTTTAAAAATTATGATTACAGATCATCATAACAAATAATAATGAAAATATTGTGCAAATTGCCAAAATGTGGTACTTAGACAGGTAGCGAGCAAATGTTGTTGGGAAAATGATGCCATTAGACTTGCTGGACTCAGGATTGCACAAACCTTTAATTTGTAAAAACAAACAAACAAACAAAAACACCCCACAATATCTTCCAAGTGCGATAAAGCACATTGCAATAAAACTGGTTATGCCTGTGTATCATGTACAGTGAGGTCAGTAGAGATAATGTAATCATCTCAGTTTGGAACATATTAAGGTTTAGGTCTTTAAGAGCATCAGTTGGAGATGTTTAGAAGACACTAATCCCTGGGGCTAACTAGGGCTTCTCAAGCCTATACTGTACACACTATTTCAGCCTTGGTGGTGGTTGGAAATACGTAAGCAAAGGAACTAGAGAAGGAAATTGAGCTTACGACAGACCCTAGTAATATTTACATTTTTGAGAGAATCGGGAGAGTAAAGCCAAAGAAGGACAGGAAGTTCTAGAAGAAGGTAAAGGGGTTGGCAGCATTAACTGGAAGAGAAAGGCCAAGTGAAGCAGTTTGATTACCAACATGGGATTTGGCCTTTAGGGGCCCTTGGTGCCTTGGTAAAAGCAGTTCAGTGAAAGGGTGTATTCCAAGGTTACTCTTTGCATTAGTTAGCTAGGAAGAGAAGAGAGTGGATTGTATGTCTCAAAAGACATAGATGCCCCCCCTTTTTTTTAATTAAAAAAAAAAAAGTAAATTGCACTCCTAAACTTAATATCAGGCTGAACAATTTTTCCATGTGCTTATTGACCATCTATATTTCTGTTGTGGATTATCTGCTCATGTCTCTTATTCATTTTATTCCACTGAAAATGGCCTGTGTTTTTTAAAAAATAAGACATTTAAGTTAAACTTTTGCCTAACTTGAGGTACTAAAACATCACTTGAATAAATGGAGAGAAACAACAGTCGTTTATTGGAAGCGTTCTTTTCAAATATATGAATTTTTTTGGCAATTTCAATCAAAATCACATAAGGATTTTTTTGGTGTGTGTGGTATGAGGAGATCTCGACAGATTAAAGAATCTTGCAGATTTTTAACTAGCCAAAAAAATTAAAAAAGAAAACCAGTGAAGGGTCATGTACCCTTCCAAGGAACAAGATATGTAAATTATAGTCATTGAAACGCTATAATACTAGGACCGGAATAAATAAAATAGTGAAAAGAAAAGATAGATTAGAAACAAACCCTAAGCCCTAACGGTTTGGCTCAGTGGATAGAGCATCGGCCTATGGACTGAAGGGTCCCAGGTTCGATTCCGGTCAAGGGCATGTACCTTGGTTGTGGGCGCATCCCTAGTAGGGGGTTTACAGGAGGCAGCTGATCGATGTTTCTCTTTCATCGATATTTCTTATTCTTTATCCTTCTCTCTTTCTCTCTATAAAAAAAAATCAATAATATATATATATTTTAAAGAAACAAACCCTAATATGTATCATAATATAGTGAAAGCTAGCAGTCACATAACAAGTCAATGGGAAAAGATTATTCAAATAAATGCTGCTGAGCCAATTGTTTGACAACGGGGGGGAAATTGTGAAATCAGAACCTATATAACAAATAACAAAACAAATCAAAGAGTTTATATATATAAAAATAGAAGTTATATACTAGAAAATGAAGTACAGAAAAAGATAGGTATTTTATTTGGATAGGGTAGGACTTGCTATTCAAAATATATAGGGAAAAAATCACAGAATAAGTTGGTAATAGATTCAACTTTAACAATGAAAAACTTTAGTAGAGCAAAACTACTAGCTCCTGAAATTGTTACTTTCAATGGTTTATCTAGGGCAAATAATCATAAATGTCCACAAAAAATCAGCTACAAGTGAGTTTATTGTAGTATCATTTATAATAGTGAAAAATCTGTAGCAACCTAAAAATCCAGCCCAAAAATTAAATGATCACATGGGAAAGAATATTATGTTTGTTTTAAGATAATTGTATAGTAGAATATTTAACAATTTGGATATGGTTTGTTGCTAATTGAGAAAAGGTGTGTGGTATGTGGACCATTTTTTGTTTCAAAACAAAGCAAGAACTATATGCTGGGGAAATTTTTTAATAGTCTCTAGACAGTGTGATTATGGTTAATTTTTATTTTCTACTTATTTGATTTTTAAAAATTTCTAGAATGAAATATGGGAATAAATAAGGAAAAAGTTATACAAGTTATTTTAAAAATTGAGATAATTGAACAGAATACATTTCCATGGAAACTAACCAAAGTAAAAGTTCTTATAAATGCCTCAAGGAATTTGTCCATTTGTGTCACTGATATTTCTTTAACATTTAGATATATTGGCTAGTCAATCAAATGTTATTAAGAAAATTAAAACAATTTTAAGCCTGCTTATAATTTTTGTCTCAGAAATATGATCTACATCTTAGACCAGGCTGCTATAGCCAAATTAACTGGGTGACTTGTAAACAACATTTATGTCACAGTTCTGGAGGCTGGAAGTCTAAGATCATGGTACTGGTAGATTTGGTGATTGGTGAGAGCCCAATTGCATCTTTTTGCTGTGTCCAGACTTAGCATAAAGGAAGAGGGAGCTCTCGGGTCTCTTTTATAAGGCCACTAGTTCTGTTCATGAGCGCTCCACTCTCGTGACCTGAACACCTCCGCAAGGCTGCATCTGCTAATACCATCGCATTGAGCAACAGAGTTCAACTACAATTTTTTTTTGGGGGGGGAGAGGCGGCACAAACATTTAGTCCATAGCAGTCTATATTAGAAGGACAATATTTTTTAGTGTACCAGCTGATAGACTGCCTCTGGGTTTCCTAAGAACAGTTTGTTGAACTTAGTCACACGTTGGCTGCTTTTAAATTAATGAGTTATTTTCTTATGCCTAGAGTTGTTCATTCAGGATGCTGCTGCTGCTGCAGAAGACAGGAAACAGTGGGATGCTGGTGCTCCTCGGACTCTGCTGCAGATGATGGCAGCGGCTGATGTCACCTCCACCTGCTCCACCAGGCCTGAGGGTGAATTTAGATCAGTTGGCTTAAATCGCCAGCAAGAGGAGATGAAGGCTCCACATGCAACTAGCGCTCACCATGACCTGATAGTTCTCACTTTCAGTACAATCGCTATAGATTTGGTATCAAATGCCTTTCAAAGATGCTGTTTTGTTTCCTTCACCAGCTTTAGAGAAACTTACTTGCTAATTATCCTACATCAGTGGTCGGCAAACTGTGGCTCGAATGCCACATGTAGCTCTTTGGCCCCTTGAGTTTTTAGCAAAGGCCAGCTTAGGAGTACCCTAATTAAGTTAATAGCAATGTATCTACTTATATAGTTTAAGTTAAAAAATTTTGGCTCTCAAAAGAAATTTCAATCATTGTACTGTTGATATTTGTCTCTGTTGACTAATGAGTTTGGTGACCACTATCCTAGACAATTGACTATGAGAAAGTCAGTGAAGAATGATCCAGAATTCCTCCTTCTTCACAGTGAGAGAGAATATACTACACAAAAAATTGATTTGCCTTCAAATGCTAACCAATAACTTTGCTACACTTTCTTGAAGGTTTTTTTTTAATCAATAAACTTGGAATTAAAATTATAGTTATCCACAAGGTTTAGAGAGTTAACAGTGCAAAGATAACATTTAAAATTGCTTTGTAAACCAATGTGTTATTTAAATGTTAGGAGTGTTTAATATCCGATGAAACTTTCAATCTAAATTCCTCATTTACATTTGAGCTCTGGCATAGTCTTTCCTAGGCTTACAGCAACATCCAGATGTTACCTTTTAGGTGGTAAAAATTTTTATTACTTATTTCCTATGTTCTTGGGGCTAGGGAGGAGCTAAAATGTATAACCATGTTATAAGTTAAAGTATGTAAGTATATCATTTAAATTAATAATTATAAGTCTATGAATTGACATATTTATACTATTACAAAATACTGAATTCATCAATCTGTCAAGAAAAAGCTTGCAAATATACAATTTCATCCATTCTAAGTCAATGATTCAATAAGAGGGACGTCTAATTTAAAATAAGCAAATAGAATAGAGCAAAAAGTGACTCTCCTACCCATCATCTATGTGACAAAGGTGACTAAACTTTTCTGTACCTCAGTTTTCTTACTAATAAGATGAGTGATGGGATGAGGTTGCCTCCAAGGTTCTAACAGCATTCTGTGATTTTATAAAAACGCGAATGAAGAAGCATTTTTTCTTTTTAATAACACAGCCTCCTCTTTAGACGGCCAAGTGATGGTGGCCAGTGGCATTCCAGAAAACAGGAAACGGTGGCGGCAGGAAGCTCCAGACACTTTACTGGGTCTTTTGGCAGCAGCACATCTAACAAGTAGCTCCTTTTCTGCTAAAGAAGGAGAGTTTGGTATGTATTTTATTTTTAAGAACATAACCAGTCCCCTGGGGAAGTCTGTCAAAGACTTGTAAATGCAGAAGGGGGATAAAAGAACCGTTAGCTTGGAGAAAGAGCCTTTTCAGAAGCTGATTTGCTTTGTACAAGCCTGTTCCAAATGCCAAGAACAAAAGACCTGAACTCTGACAAGAGTGGGGTAATTTTGTTTAATGTGATCAGTTGACGACTGATGAAAAGTTAAGTAAAGTAGACTATCATCGGCTTTGTAGATGATGGGATAGTATTGATTAGCTTTAAACTGAGTCAGTTTATTTCTGACAGCTATTTACTGGATTCAAATTATGATTTTATGGGCAATAAAAATACATCTTAATATGTATAATGTTTTGGCTTTTGGGTTTTTGCCTCCAATATTTAGCAAGATTATGCTCGTGTTTAATTTAAGGGAAACCAACCATCATTTTCTAAAGTTTGAGGGAATTCCCATCACAATGGGAATTTCCCTCCTATCAGGTATGCAGGTATATATAAACTGTTAAAAGAGAAGTCGTTGGGGGCAGGAAGATATCAAACAAGAGGCCTCTGCACAGGTGGGACCAGGTGTTGCAGAGATGCAAGCTTGTGGCTGCAAGGCGGCATAGAAACAAACCAGGTAGTAACCGCGGCTGGTGAATGCTCACACCGTTAGAGACCAACACAGAAGTGTATGCAACTCTAAGTTTAATGCAAGCTACCCGATCATCCATGAAGAGGGGGTCTGCCAGCTTGTGAAACCCAGATTTCAGTCTTTGTGAAATCTATGTGAAAAGTGAGATCTTAAACACAAGATGTGAATGAAACAATTTTATAAGTCTAAAAAGTAATATAAGATAAAAAATATATGCTTAGGAATTACTAAAAGAGGTTTTAAGGGTAATAAAACATGTCATTTTATTGGCAACTTTTTCCTTACTATTGGGGTATAAAAATACATCTTATAGAGTTGTTGAGGAGATGCTACATTGTCAAGGAAACAGAATATTGTACTAGTCTGATAATTTTTCCAAGAGAAAAAAAGTTACATTTAAAATAACAACAATAAATCACCATATCCACCAGAAAAGATGAAGTTGTGTGTGTGTTGTATTTTGAGTTTCCTTTGCAGACGTTAATGATTAAAGCTAACAATGAGCTGAAAACTAATTTTCTAGAAACAGTGAAGAATAGGGTGGGCCAATAATGTTGGCAATTCTTAAGTTGTTACAACACATGATTAAAACATATTTTTATACAATCAAAACATCTACTCCCGAAGTGGGGAGTATTTTCTCTTTATCACTGATCCTTTTTCCTCTCACTTTTTCATGTTTTATTGTGGTGCCTACTGGCTTCAGTACAATGCTGAAAATAGTTGGGGTGACAGTTGTTATCCCTGTATTATTTGTTTTAAAACCTTTAAGAGGTTTTGACATTATGTTTGATGTTCATTATATGGTTTTTGGTACATACCCCTCTTCAGGTGTATTGACTGGATGCTTTAATCTCCCTGCCATTTCTTTAACAGTGGGAGCATTAAAACAATGGCTTCCTAAAGAAAATGAAGAGAAGGTGGAAATGGCCTCTGGCATTGAAGAAGATAAGGAACTACCAGAACCAAGATCTCATGATGATGATGTTGATGATGATAATGATGATGATGATGATGATGATGATACGTAAGTAGTCATATCTAGATGCCTAAATGAAAGTAGAAAGTGGAAATACTGTTGTAGATACATAGAAGATAGCCTCAGAAACCTAGCTAAGGAGACCTGGCTTTACTATGTATATAGGTTTGTTTGTGGGCTCACTATTTGTTTCCAATGGCATTGTCCCCTATCTCTGTATTAAGTTCTGTCTTAATTACTGTGGCTTTATCATACCTTTTGATATTTGGTAGGGCTAGTCTCACCTTGTGGTCTCCACATCTTTTTCTTTAAACTTACCTTAGCCATTGTTGCCTTTTATTCAATATGTACATCTTTGCATTCTCTTGTGAAGTGTTATGAAAAACATTGTTGGGATTCTGATAAGAATGACATTACACCCTGGCTGGTTTGGCTCAGTGTCGGCCTGCGGACTCAAGGGTCCCAGTTTCGATTCCAGTCAAGGGCTTGTACTTTGGTTGCGGGCACATCCCCTGTGGGGAATGTACAGGAGGCAGCTGATGTTTCTCTCTCCTCGATGTTTCTAACTCTCTGTCCCTCTCCCTTTCTCTCTGTAAAAAATCAATAAAATATATATTTTTAAAAAAAGAATGACATTACATCTGGTAATTTATGGGAGTTGACACCTTTATGATTATAGATCTTAGCACCTATGAGCATAGTATAGCTCTCCATCTGTTATGTCTTTTTAAAAATATTCTTCAGTATTTTTGTATTTTCTTCATTGTTCAGGTCCACTTAATTTTTTATGTTGTTGCCATTATTAATGGGGTAATTTTTCTCCTGTGTTTTCAATTTGGCTATTGCTAGTGTATATACTACTATTGATGTTGTATGCTGTAACTTTACCAAACTCTCTTATTCTAAAATTTGGAGTACTTTTAATTTTTAAAACTGTATTATAATTTACCTCTTTGTTGTTGTGAATCATCACCCAAGGATATTTTTTTCCATTGATTTTTAGAGAGAGTGGAAGGGAGAAAAAGAGGGTGAGAGAGAAACATCGATGTGAGAGAGTCACATCAATTGGCTACCTCCCACATGCACCCCAACCAAGGCCGGGGAACCTGCAACCAAGGTACATGCCTTTTACTGGAATCGAACCCAGCACCCTTCAGTCCAAAGGCCGATGCTTTATCCACTGAGCAAAACCTGCTAGTGCATAATTTACTTTTAAAAGATGTAAAATATTCATGTGGTTCCAAACTCAAAAGGTAACTCTTTTCATAGTCTGCCTGCTGTCTCTACCTCTGCAACACAATTCCTCTTCCAGAATCACTAACCTAATCTTCTGTGCATACTTCTCCTGCGTAATTCTATTAAAATGTAAGTGAATATGTATCATATTCTTTTTCTTTATATATACACAGTTTCATAGTATACATATTATTGTGAAACTTCTTTTTTCCTTAACCAAGGAAATTCATATTCAAATTCAAATTCAAATTTGTTACCAAATTTATGAATTATTACACAGTTAATAGGTAATAAAATGACATTTCAGGTTAGTTTTAATTAGCTTTTCTTTTATGAATGAGGTTGTCTTCACACATATGCTCAATACCCATCTTTAGTTCTTCCTGTGGACACAATTTATTAAATGGCCTTAACCACTTAAAATTTTTAGGCTATTAACATTGTACTGACTTGTAGAACTTTTTGTATTTTAGAGATATTAGCCTTTTATCTGTTAAAATGTTTTCCCCAATTTTTTTTTTTGCCTTTTGATTTTATTTAGTGGCTTGTGCCATGTAGGAATTTTATGACTTACTTTTCTATTTAGTTAAATATTTTATTCATCTTAAAATTTACTCATATGATACTGTAAAGTGTGGCTCCAACTTACTTTTTTCCAAATAAGTCCTAACTATTCTAACATCATTTACTGAAAATCTTTATTTTTGCTACCACCCAGTGTGTATGTGTGAATATATATATATTCTTCTTCTTCTTCTTCTTCTTCTTTTTTTTTTTTTTTTTTTTTTTTTTTTTTTTAAGAAATCTTGTGGGTCTCTGCAAATCTTACTGGGATTCACTTCATTAGACAAAGGCCAGACCCACAGTCATTTTGAGATAAGCCATACTCAATCTTGGGCTTTTGCTTAGACTACTGAATGACAACACCCTTAATCTTTTTAGAAATCCTACCGTTTGAGAACAGTTTTAAAGAGAATGATTTTGAGATTCATCCTTGTTGTTGTATATTTCAATAGCTCCCTCTTTTTATTGCTAAACCAGAGGCCTGCTGCATGAAATTCATGCACTCAGAGGGGGAGGGCCCTCAGCCTGGACTGCACCCTTTTGCAGTGGGGGAGCCCTCAGGGGATGTCCAACTGATGGTGTAGGCTCGCTCGCCATAGGAAGCAGGCCTAAGCCATCAGTTGGACATCCTTAGCACTGCTGCAGAGGTGGGAGATGCTCCCACTATCGCTATTGTGCTAACCAGCCATGAGCCCGGCTCCTACATTGAGCATCTGCCCTCTGGTGGTCAGTGCATGTCATAGTGACTGGTCATTCTGTTGTTTGGTCTATTTGCATATTAGCCTTTTATTATATAGGATAATGTCTTATTATGAGCAAGAACTCTAATTCAATTTTTTTAAGTAGTTAAAGGGAGGGGCAGAATTTTCAATTGAGCCTAAAGCTAAAATTGTTCTTAGCTCAAAAATCTGCATACCACTGAGACACATCTTGGTGAGGCTCATTCTGAATCCCCACACTGTTCTATTATGTATATAAGTATTGAGAAGCATATTATCTCTTTAGTGAAAGGAACCTTTTGTTATAACTAGAGGCCCAGTGCACAAAATTCATGCATGGGTGGGGGGTGTTGTCCCTCAGCCCAGCCTGTACCCTCTCCAATCTTGGATCCCTCTCACAATCCAGGACTGCTGGCTCCCAACTGCTCACCTGCCTGCCTTTCTGATTGCCCCTAACCACTTCTGCCTGCCAGCCTGATCACTCCCTAACCATTTCCTTGCCACTCTGATTGATGCCTAACTGCTCCCCTGCCAGCCTGTTTACCCCTAACTGCCCTTCCCTATAGCCTGGTCACCCCTAACTGCCCTTGCCTACAGGCCTGGCCACCCCTAACTTCTCTCCCCTGCAGGCCTGGTCACACCCAACTGCTCTTCCCTGCAGACCTGGGTCCCCACCAACTGCCCTTCCCTACAGGCTCGTTTGCCCCAATTTCCTTCCTCTGCAATCCTGGTCACTCCTAACTGCCCTCCCTTGCAGGCTTGATCACCCCCAATTGCCCTCCCTTGCAGGCCTGGTCCCTCCTAACTGCCCTTCCCTGCTGGCCTGATTGCCAACAACTGCCCTCCTTGCACACCTGGTCCCTCCCAACTGCCCTCCCCTGCTGGCCATCTTGTGTGGTGGCCATCTCATGTCCACATGGAGGCAGTTATTTTGTGTGTTGGAGTGATGGTCAATTTGCATATCATTCTTTTATTAGGATTATATAGGATAGAAGTCTGGTGCATGGGTAGGGGCTGGCTGGTTTGCCTTGAAGGGTGTCCCAGATCAGGGTGGGGGTTCCCTTGGGGCATGGAGAAGCCTGGGTAAGGGGCCTGTGGTGGTTCTCAGGCCAACCACGCCTTCCCTGCAACTCTGGTATCTGGGACTTATTTATCTTCCATAATTGAAACTTTGTAGCCTTGAGCAAAGACCTTGGCCAACCAGGGCAGGTGGAAAGCTTGGCTTCCTCCATTGCTGGGGAAACTCAAGCCTCCTGCTCTCTCCGTGGCTGAAGCCATTTTGGTTGGGTTAATTTGCATACTCGCTACTGATTGGCTGGTGGGTGTGGGTTGTGGCATGGTCTACTTGCATATTATGCTTTTATTAGATAGGATGACTAACTTATCTCATGAGTTGTTCTTTGGCTTCAAGCTGGTATCCAGTATTCATGCAGCAACTTCAGCTCTCCCTTGATTCTTCAAAGAATCTTTCCGTTCAATATTTACCTGGAATATCTTTTATTTTATTTTCTCTAAATATATCTAGATTTTTATTAAATAGGAATAGCCCATGGACACAGGCAATAGTCTGGTGAAGGCTTGGGAGAGGTGGGTACAGGGTGGAAGAGATCAATGGGAAAATAAAAAAAAAACTAAAACAAAGGGACATCTGTAACACTTTTAACAATAAAGATATATTTTAAATAAAGGAAAATATCTTAGTTGAAAAGAGTTTTATGTAAAACAATATAAGTAATTACTCTACACTGTACTTTATATTCTCAATTTCTCTCAAAGAGACATTAATTGACCTTATGTTCACTGACTATAGGACTGACCTCTGAGATGCCAATCCAGCACTGACTGCCACTGCTTTTCTCTTCGGGCCTGATCACAGCCCCCTTGGCAGTCAGTGCTGGGTTGATGAGGCTCCTACAGTGCTGGGTTGCCATGGTGACCCAGCACTAACTGCAAGACTGACTTCTGGTGTTCAATCAAGCCTTCAGTCATTTTGGTCATTACAGAACCTGGCTCTTTATATATATATATATACATAGTAATCTATTAATGGATATATCACAATTGATTTATACATTTGCCTGTTGATGGACATTTGGATTGCTTCCAGCTTTATTTACTTTTTTTGTAAATCCTCACCTGAGGATATTTTCCATTGATTTTTAGAGAGTGGAAGGGAGAGGGAGAGACAGGGAGAGACATGTCAATGTGAGAGAGGCACATTGATTGGTTGCCTCCCACACATGCCCTGACCAGGGCAGGGGATCGAGCTCCAACCAAGGCCTTTGACTGGAATCGAACCTGGGACCTTTCAGTCCAGTACTGACGATCTATCCACTGAGACAAACCAGCTAGGGCTGCTTCCATTTTCAGGGCATTATAAAGCTATTAATATAAAATGAAACAGAGTAGTATGTGTGAAATGCTCTAGGTCAGTGACTGGCATATATATTGTAGTAAAGGCTCAATATATGGCTTTTTTGGGGTGTCTTCTCACTTCCCTTTTTACACATTAGATGGGTATTAATAAATACGATAAAAGTTATTGAACACAAGTTCAATTAAACAGAATAATATTCTCTTAATGTTGGTTATCTTTCTTAGAAAAATCAGACTGGTATGCTAAATAATTTATTAACTGGGTGAAAATGCAACTTGCTCACGTAGGGGTGGAGTATGAGAAGGGAAGCTAATTTCTCATATCTATTCTTCAATGTTTTGATATCATGAAGTTGATTTTTACTGTTTATTATTTCAGAAATTTTGAAGAATCTGAAGATGAATTGAGAAATGAAGTAGTAGAATCACTGGGAAAACTCACTACTTCCAAAGAGGAGGGGAACAAAGAAGAGGTTTCCGGTTCCTCTGAGGACACTTAGGAGAAATATGCAGAATTAAGTGAAGGTTTGGAAAATATTTCTACTCCAACTAATGGTACCAAGGAACATCAATAACCAGTCAAAATATACAAGTGTGATTATTGTACTTTTTCTTAAGCAGTAAGATAGTGTAAATTAATCAATGTATCTGGTTGAGTACAAGTCATAAATATTTATCTGTAATAATTAAAGTATAATATGCTAATTAGACCAGACAGCTTCTGGATGTCCTTCTGGATGACCTTTCAGATGAAGCCAGGGCTGTGAGGGCTGAGGCAAGTCACCGCAGCTGCGAGGGCAGAGCCTCTTGCACGAATTTTGTGCATCGGGTCTCTAGTTTATTTTAAGGCTTTCCCAGTAATCCCAAGAATTTACTAATTTTTGTCTCTAAATGTAAACAGTAGACTTTTTTGAGTGTAGAAACTAATATTTTTATTTTAAAATTTCTGTTTAGAAATCTTGCAGATAATATATGGGGTAGGCAGAGTAATGTGCTTACCCCCTTCCCAAATGTGAATATATTATGTTAAATGCAAAAGGAAATTAAAGTTGCAGATGGAATTAAAGTTGCTAATGAGCTGACCTTAAAATAGGAAGGTTTTCTTGGGTTATCCAGGTGTGCCCAATCCTATATAATAAAAGCCTAATTGTCCCCGTGGGCAGTCCTTTGACCAGGAGTTTAACTGGGAGACAGAAAGTTTGGCGGCTCACTGTGATGTGCGCTGACCACCAGGGGGCGGCGAGGAACATGGCAGGTGTCAGCAACACAGCGCTGGCAGCAGGTGGCAGTGGAGGCGCTGCCAGCCTGATTGGGCCCCGACAAGAGTGAGACCAAGGCGGGATGGTGGAGCAGGTGAGCAGGTGGCGCCAGGCCAAGGCAGGTGCCAATGGCCCTGCAGACAGTGACCAGTGGTGGTGGCAGCGGGTGGGTCTTCCATCCGTCTCCCAGGCTCTGAGGGAGCTGAGTTGGGGACCTGGCCCCAATCCATTGCCCTGCAGATGGTGACCAGCAGCTGCCAGCCCTGATCACCTGATGGAAACTGCGAGTGGAGGCAACCAACCTCCCACAGTGCTGGCTATCTGAGGGTGAGGGTGACAGAGGAGGTGCGGTGAGAATGCAGGGTGCCCACTGAACTCACTCTCATTTTCCCTGTTACCCTCCCCTGGGATGCCTGGGCTACTGGGGAAGCCCCCACACTCAGGTGCTGGGTGCCCACGAGGAGCTCACCCTGCACCCGTGTGGCCTCTTTCGGGTGAGCCAGGCTGCAGCCACCGGGACCTCAGGGGCTGGTTGGGCTCCCTGGGGGTTTGCACAGGAGCCGGTCTATGCGGTCGGCTGGGAGAGAGCACGCTGCCCACCCGGCTTCCAAGTGGCACCACTGAGTGGCCCAGAGGCTCAGGCTGTGCCCTGGCCTGCAGCCATGCTCACGATATCTCCATGTGGGGACTCAGGTGCTATGGCTCAGGCAGAGCAGGTGCACAGGGGCCCAGGTGCTGCCCAGGACAAAGAGGTCAGCTGGGACCTGCCCATCTACATCAGATGCTCACTGGCCAGGCCTAGGCATCATAGCCTTGCATGAATTTTGTGCACTGGGCCTCTAGTGTATCATAAATCTTTACAAATGGAAGAGGGAGACAGTAGAATCAGAGTTGGCAGTGTGAGAGGGAAGTGGCCTCATGCTGCTGGCTTTGAAGATAGAGGGAAAGGCAAAAGCAAAGGAAGCGGGCAGCCTCTAGAAACCCAGACAGGCAAGGAAAGGGATCCTCCCCCAAAGCTCTGCCAACACCTTGATTTTAGCAGTGAACCCACTTTGGAACTCTAAGTAAGATAATAAATGTGCGTTGTTTTAACTTGATTTATGGTGATGTTAAGACAGCAATAGAAAGCAAATCAAACTCATTTAAAATAATGAATCTGCCATTTAATAAAACTGATTTTGAAATTTCTTGTTATATTGAATACACTTGTTTGAAGTTGATGTTGATATGGGAGTTAAGGCAATTGAGCAAGGAGGGGAATAAGACATGCCTTTAATTATACATCATATAATCATTTTATCATGTCATATTGAATTATTTTCTGTTAGTTTCAAATGTATAGGTTATAAACTCTTATAATGGTCTCTTTATATGTAGTACTTAGCATAGTGCCAGAAATGTTTCTTAAATGAGTAAATAAATGCTAATACAATTTCCTCAGTAAGACTAAACTTTTTGTCAGGAAAGGACAAATTTTGGTATTGAACATGTGCTTGTATTGAACATAATAGATATTGTTGATTTATCTGCCTCAATAGAGGGTTCATTTATTTTTTTTCTTAATCCTTATCTGAGGATATTTTTTCCATTGATTTCTCTTGTCTTGTTTTATTTTTTCCATTGATATTTTTTCATTGATTTTTAGGGAAAGTGGAAGAGAGAGGGAAAGACAGAGAGAGACATCAATATGAGAGAAACACATCGATTGGTTGCCTCCTGTACACACTTTGCCCAGGGCCGGAGTAGGGTGGAGCCTACAAGCGAGGTATGTGCCCTCCACTAGAATAGAATCTGGGGCCTTTTGGTCTGCAGACTGATGCACTATCTACTGAGAAAACTGGCTAGGGCTCCATTGACTTTTTAGAGAGAGTGTAAAGGAGAAAGGAGGAAAGAGAAATACAGACATGAAAAACTCATCAATTGATTGCTTTTCGAATGCACCCCAATCAGAGCTGGGGATGGAACCTACAACCCAGGTATGTGTCCTTGACTGGAAATCAAACCTGCAACCCTTTTGGTGTGCAAGCCAACAATCTAATCACTGAACAACACTGGCCAGGACAGGGCTGTTCTATTCCTAAGTGGTAGAATTCTGCCAGAAATATCTGCCCTATAATAAAAATAAAACCCAAATTGCACACTGATACATTGCTGAACCAAGAAAACAAAGATGAGGAGAGGTTGGTCTGATTATTTCTAAGGTCTACTTAGTACTTCCATTTGTTATAACTTTATTAACTACTAGAGGCCCAGTACCTGAAATTTGTTCATGGGGGGAGGGGGGGAGTATCCCTCAGCCCAGCCTGCATCCTCTCCAATCTGGGACCCCTCGAGGGATGTCCGACTGCCTGGTAGGATCGGGCCTAAATGGGCAGTTGGACATCCCTTTCACAATCCAAAACCGCTGGTTCCCAACTGCTCGCCTGCCTGCCTGCCTGATTGCCCCTAACCACTTCTACATATCAGCCTGATCACCCCCTAACCACTCCCATGCCAGCCTGATCAATGCCTAACTGCTTCCCTGCCAGCCTGTTTGCCCCTAACTGCTCTCCCCTGCAGCCCTAGTCACTTCTAATTGCCCTCCCCTACCAGCCTGGCCACCCCTAACTGCCCTCCCCTGCAGGCCTGGTCCCCCTGGCATCTGCTCTCCTCAGCAGGTTTGGTCCCCCCCAACTGCCCTCCCCTGCTGGCCATCTTGTGTCCACATGGGGCAGCCATCTTGTGTGTTGTTGTGATGGTTAATCTGCATATTACTATTCTATTTATCTTCTATAATTGAAACTTTGTAGCCTTGAATGGAGGCCTGGGTTGGTCAGGGTATGTGGAAAGCTTGGCTTACTCCATTGCCAGGGAAACCTAAGCCTCCTGCTTGCTCTGTGGCCACAGCCATCTTGGTTGGGTTAATTTGCATACTTGATCCTAATTGGCTTGTGGGCGTGGCAGAGGTATGGCCAAACAAAGATGAGGAGAGGTTGGTCTACTTAGTACTTCCATTTGTTGTAACTTTATTAACTACTAGAGGCCCTGTAATACGGTAGTAATAGAAATTTGTGCACTGGGCTAGGGGGTTGTCCCTCAGCCCAGCCTGCACCCTCTCCAATCTGGGATCCCTCTCACAATCCAGGACTGCTGGCTTCCAACTGCTCACCTGCCTGCCTACCTGATTGCCCTTAGCCACTTCTGCCTATCAGCCTGATCACCCCTAACTACTTCCATGCCAGCCTGATTGATGCCTAACTGCTCCTCTGCCAGCCTGTTTGCCCCCAACTTCCCTCCTCTGCTGGCCTGGTAACCCCTACCTGCACTCCCCTGCAGATTTGATTGCCTCCAACTGCCCTTCCTTGTAGGCCTGGTGCCTCCCAACTGCCCTCCCCTGCTGGCCATCTTGTGTCCAAATGGGGACAGCCATCTTTGACCACATCGGGGCAGCTATTGTGTGTTGGAATGATGGTCAATCTGCATATTGCTCTTTTATTAGATAGGATAGAGGCCTGGTGCACAGGTGGGGGCCAGCTGGTTTGCCCTTAAGGGTTTTCCTGGATCAGAGTGGGGGTTCCTTTGGGGCATGGAGCAGCCTGAGCAAGGGGCCTGTGGTGGTTTGCAGGCTGGCCACGCCCCCTGGCGATCCAAGCAGAGGCCCTGGTATCTGGAATTTGTTTACCTTCTACAATTGAAACTGTAGCCTGGAGCGGAGCCAAGTCTGCTCACTCTGTGGTTGGCAGCCATTTCTGTTGGAGTTTATTATCCTTCTATAATTGAAACTTTGTATCATTGAATGGAGGCCTAGGCCAGCAAGAGCAGGCGGAAAGTTTGGCTTCCTGTTGCCTGGGAAACCCAAGCCTCCCTCCTGCTCTGTGGCTGTAGCCATCTTGATTGGGCTTATTTGCATACTCACTCTGATTGGCTGGTGAGCAAAGTGGAGTGATGGTTAATTTGCATCTTAATGTTTTATTATGTACTGTAGGGAATGCATGTATCAGGCTTCCTCTAGCTGTGAAATGTGTGTCTTTTTTTTCTCTTTTTTCTTTTTTTTTACACTCAGTCATTTTTATTAGACAGGGCAGAGGCAGTAAAGCAGAGACACAGACAGCCCAAGCTTTCATTTCATTTTATTATTATTATTTCTACTGTCTTCCAAAGGGGAGTTTAAGGTCAAAAGAGTTTCAGGTGTCATCAAAATCTGGATAAGCTCCTTATTTTTTGGTACAAGATTTAGCATATCGAGACCTGGGTGAATCAAGGTCCTATTTGTTCCTCATTCCAAGCACATGGATTAAGAAATCAGTTCTGATAAGAGGATCCTACCAGTGCCCTCAGGCTTAGCTGATAAGAATTAAAAGAATGTCCTTGTGCCTTCTCAGGCAGCTCTCTACATCTCACCTTTTACTAATTAAAATAAAATTTAAACATCAATAATAGGGCTCTAAAATTAAAAACAATTGCAAACAATGCCAATGCAAAAACTAAACTACATACATGTTATTTTCAAAACTTGAATGTCAAGAGCAAAACTCTGGCTACTAAATAGATAATAACAACAATGCCAATGCAAAACAACAAAATGAGAAATCAGAATTATGGGCATATTAATATTTTTAGCTACTAAATGAGTCTCTTTTGTTGCTGGTGTAGATTTACTCAGAGTCCTTGGACTTGCTGCACAAGACTTTGCAGAAGACTGGAAGCTAACAGATGCTCGCATGAGCAGGAACATGATTAAAGAAGTAGCTTCCACTTCAGCCTTTAATTTCTTCAGATGACTCCATGTTGGCACCTCAGTCCCTTGCGTAGCCTTCAGTTTTCTTCTCCCACTTTGCTGTCGTCTGGGCAACTCTGTCCTTTTGGGTGAAGGGACACAGGAGCTTCTCTGAGTCCATTGTGATGACGGACATAACACTCTGGTACCCGAATTGGCTGCATTGCTCTTTTCTTTCATTTTCAACCCAGGGTTCGACCCCACAACACTCTGGGCCTGGCTGCTGCTCTGGGCCTGGCTGCTGCTGCTCCAGGCTTGGATGCTCCGGGCCTGGCTGCTTTGGGCCTGGCTGCTCCGGGATATGTGTCAGTCTTTATGCCTTTATTTTCCTGGTGATGCTTGAAGGGACTATTTTTTTATATTTGGCATATAGAGTTATTGATTCTACCCTTTTAGGGAGAGTGCTCAGTATGGTCATATCATGATGTTGGGAATATTGAAAACTTTCTCACCATTGTATTAATTTCAAACTAGGTAACACCTATCCTGAGGGATTGGAGCAGGGCAGGGCTCGCCTGGGCAAGTGGCTGTGATGTTCTTGGTCTCTGATCATTCTGGTATTCCACCATTTTGGTTGCTGGACTTTTATTATAATAGGATAAGAATATTAAGTTTGCTCCAAGGACAACATGCTTGGCTAAAGTCTCCTTTAGGTATTAGCCACCAAGCCTGATTATCATTCATTCTAAGATTTTGAGCTCTTTGCTGTAAATTAGGAAGCATTCATTGTGAAGAATATGCATATCTGCAAGGTTTGTCAACCTGCTTCAGCCTCTAATTCACCTTACCCATCTTACACACACCATTACCTAACTAATAGTGTTCTAGAGACAGTTTTGATTGCTTTTCTCTGCTTTTAGGCTTGGTTGCATCTGTATATTGA